ATATCCCATACCCATAATCCCCCACCTCTGCAAATAACAGAAGGTAGCCCATTTTCTTCACTCTTCTCTGTATCCAAAAGCCTAAATTACAATGACAGTGTTCATTTTCTTTTCATTTATCTTATTGTAGTAATTGTGTCAATTGTTTTCTTGATTTTGCTGACCATTTTGCATTGATTCATATAAGCTCCTTATACATCTCTGAATTCTTCATATTTATGGTGGATAATATTCAATTATAATTTACACCTTAATTTGTACAGTTATTGTACAACTGATAGGCATCTCCTTTGTTTCAAGTTCTTTGATAACCACAAAAAAGTGTTGCCACAAATACTTTGGTCTATATGGGATTTCTTTCTGTCTCTGACCTCTTTGGCATACGTCCAGTAAAGGGACCTCTGTAAAAAAGTATGGCCTGCCTGCTGTTTGTCACACATGACATTCCATCTCCCATCTCCACCCCTTTGCAATGGCCACCTCTCATACCCAGAATTCACTTCCCCTCACCTCTGCCTTTGCAATCCCTGATTTCCTAAAAGACTCTATCGTGGTTCCACTTTCTATAAGAAACCTTTTATGATCATCCCCCAGGTGTTAGTACACCTCCCTCTCAAAATAACTTGTATTTATTTTGTATACAAAGAAGCAAGGATGGCAAAGTAGATAGAGAGCTGGCCTCAAAGCTAGAAGACCTGGGTTCAAATCCTGCCTCAGATTCCTATTGTGGCTGTAACCCAGAACCCTTTTTGGTGTTCTGGACAACTCTCTAAGATTATAATTTCACAGAACAGGTGCTGTTGTCCACAGGTAAAGGAAGTTACTATATTGGAAAGTTCCCTTGACAAATGAAGCCATACATCCAGTCTCTGTCCTTATCCTGATAACTTTTACATGTACGTTATCTCACTCATTAGCTAATAAGCTTCTCAAGGGGAGAAAAGGTTTCACTTTTGTCTTTGTATCTCCAGCACTTAGCTAAGCAGAATTCTAATCATTCCAGAATAACTGGACCAATGCACAGCTTTATCAAGTGCATTAGTGTGGCTGTGTTCCCACAGCTCCTCCAACGTTGACTTTTTCCATTTTTTTCCTCTTTGCCAACTTTCTGGGTGTGAAGTAAAACCTAAATTATACCAATTCAAATATCTCTTATTATTAGTGATTTGGAGTAATCTTTCATATAGTTGTTAATAATTTGCAATTTTTATTTGAGAACTGTTTGTTCATACCATTTGATGATTTATCAGGTAACAAGTAATATTCCTAAAGCACATGCGTGGCCAGTGTACTTCCTTGTTCAACACTCTCCTTGTATCAGCACACTGATATCGAAGAGCCAGCATGGTTTCATCAAGAACAAATCCTGCCAGACTAACCTGATTTCTTTTTTGGACAAAAATAAATCAGTAGGTGAGGGGAATGCTGTGGGTGTAGTTTACCTAGATACTAACGAAACACTGATAAAGTATTTCATATTATTCTTGTGGCAAATATGAAGAGATGTGGATTACACAACTATACGGTCATGTGGATTCAAAATTGGGTGAAGAGCCACATTCAAAGAGAAGGAATTGTCAATGGTTCAGCACCATATAGCCAGTCTGTGATGGAGAACCAAAGCAATCTGTGTTTGGGCTTTTGCTGTTTGATATATTTGTCACTGACTTCAATAAAGGCATAAATACTATGCTTATCTCACTTGCAAATAACATCAAACAGGGAGAGACAGCAAACATGCTGGATGACAGAGCTAGAACCCAAAAGCATCTTAAGAGACTACAGCACTGGGTTAAATCTAACAAGATGAAATTCAATAGAGATAAATGTAAAGTGCTTAGGATAGTGCCCGGCACAAAGCAGACATTTAATAAATGCCTATTTGACTACTGACTATAAAGTCTTACACTTGGGTGCTAGAAGAAAATCTAGCCTCAGAAGTATGAACTACAGAAGGCATGGTGAGATAGCAGTTCTGAAAAAAAAAAAAGGAAAAAAGATCTAGAGGTTTTAGGGGATCACAGTGTCAATATGAGGTAGCAGTGTTATGGAACAGTGAAAAAAAGCTATCGTAATCTTGAGCTACATTAAAGAGGGGCATAAGTTTGACTTTTCAGTAAAGCCCTTCATAATCTGTCCTTATCTACATTTCCAGTCAGTCTTCTTACACATATTCAACAGTCTAGTAATGATGATTTTTTTGCTGTTCATTGTACAAGAAGCTCTATCTCCCAAATCTGGACATCTTCATTGCCTGTCCCTCCCATGCTTGGAATTCTCTGCCTTCTAGTTTACTTTAAGTCTAATTAAAATCCTACTTTCTTGAAGAAATTTTTCTCAGTCTTCCTTAATGTTAGTGCCTTCCCTCTAAGATTATTTCTACTGTTCTCATTCTCTCTCTCCTACTCCTCCTCCCCATATATATACACACACACCTATATATATGTATGTGTGTATATGTGCATGTATGAGTATATACATATGTGTATGCATATGTTTGTGTGATGTATATTTTAAAATATTGTTTATACATAGCCATTTGCATGTTGTCCTCCCCATTAATTCGTAAGCTCCTTGAAGGCAGGTACTGTTTTTGCCCTTGTACTCTCAGGGCTTTTCATAGCATTTAAAAATATAGTAGATGCTTTATAAATGCTTTCTGATTGGACTTGTTGACTCAAGAGTCTCACTGTATTCTGCCCTTGTCTGGAGTATTGCAGTAAGATCCAGTCACCACCACGGTTTAAGAAGACTGATACTGTGAAGAGTGTTCAGAAGAAGGTATCTAAAATGGTAAGGGAACTTGAGTATGTGTCATGAGGATCTGTTGAAGGAATTAGATATTTTTAGTCTGAGGAACAAGAGTCTCATGGGAGACAAAGTAGTTGCCTTTAAGGGCTGCCATGAGGGAAGAGGGATTAGACTTGTTCACTTAGACCACAGAGGATAGAACTGAGAGCAGTGAGTAGAAGTGAAAAGAAATCAAGTTCAGATTTAACATCAGGAAAAACTTCCTTACAATTGGAGCTGTCCAAACATAGAACGGACTGCCTGCCTCAAGAGTTGGTCCCTTCTTCCTCTCCATGGAGTCTATTCAAGCAGGGACTGGCTGACCATTTGTTGGTTATGTTCTAGTGGAGATTCCTTTTGTGTATGGGTTAAACAAAGTGGCTGCTGAGATCTCCTGCAAATCTGACTTTCTCTGAGTCTATGATCCTCATGGCTCTTACTTGCCTCTAACACCAAGTACAAATTCCTATACCTGTCATTTAAAGACCTTCACAAGTTGACCCCAACCTACTTTTCCAGGATTATTATATACTGCTGCCTTCCATGTACTCTAAGTTCCAGCCAAATTCAACTATTTGCTGTAACTGGCTGACATAATTATATTTCCTGTCTCTGTGTCTTTGCACAGGGTATCCTCTCCTTCTTGGAATGGACTCCCTTCTTATATCCTCTCTATGACATCTCTAGCTCCCTTCAGAGATCAGTTCAGGTAGTATGTGGTACTACTTAAAGTCTTTATCCCCCCTCAACTACTTCCCCCACAACCATCATCACTTAAAATTACATGGAAACATATATACATCTATATATATTTCCACTGATACAATGTAAGCTCCTTGAGGACAAAGTCTGCTTTGTTTTGCTCTTTGGATCCCCAGCACTGGGACTGGGACATAGTGGTCCTCAGTAAATACTTGCTGATTGACCAATATCTAAGTATTACTTTAAGCAGATTACATTTGGCAACATACGGTGTCATTCTCTACAACAAAAATTTCGGATAAGTATTGATTGAGAAACTCTGGGATGGCATGTGTTTGTGGCTTTAGGTCCAACCTCCAGTAAGATATTCATACCACATTTACTGTGAATTATGCCATCTGAGACCAAAGGTTATAATCATTTTGGCTCAGTCTTACCCTTACCACATTTAATAAAAATGAAATGACTGGAAATCTTCCTATCAAGTAGGCTGATTCTCTGGATCTTGCTATTGGTTTTGAATTTGACCATTCTATTGCTATAATGAAATAACCTTTTATATCCCCAGCTTTACATCTCACGATAACATGCTATAAATCAGTAAGAAAAATGTTAAAATGACCTTTTCCAATAGAAACTTTTGTTGGTATGAATATCACAAACCCAGAACCACTAAAAAAGCATGTGCTTACACAGGTGAGATATTTTCTCCCTCACAATCCCTTCCTCCCCACCCTAGACATATCAGTGGATGATACCCACTCAAGAAGCAATATGTGCTACCAGCCAAAAGGATGCAGCCTCAGAGTTTTAACTGTAATTGGTACTTTTGATAAATTGTTAATGGAGAGAAGTGCTCCACTTCATATGCAGAAGGCTTGACACAAGAATTGAGGTCCTTTTCCATTTAAGAATCATGTCAATCCTCCAGGCAAGCAGCAGACAATTCAGCTACCCACAGGAGAGTGGAGTCGGGGGCAGAGTGGGAGCTCTTTCTTATCCATTAATTTTAAACAACAACAACAAAACCCCAGGATTTTTCAAACCACTTGCAACCTGAGGATATAATCTAATAGTTATCTCCAAGAGCTGCCATAGCTAAAAGAAAAATGGTGAGTCAAAAAGGTCAATTGAGGAAAGCACAACATCAAACATCGTACCCCTAGAAAGTGAGTACTCTTAGACTAGAAACTGGGGGGGGAGTCAACAAGAAAGAAAGGAGGTGAAATCTTAGGGGTATACTATTTCCTCGGTGACACTCCTACCTATTCACATCTTTGGGAAAGACAACCATAGATCTCCCAACCTGTCCTCAGCCTAGCTTGAGGATGAGAGGGATTGACAAGGACTAAGAATTTGATTATTTTTACTTCCAAGTTGCTTTCTTTCTGCCCCTTCCAACCTGAGTACCGATGTTAGGATAAAATACAGGGTATCAAATGAGTAGAAAATTAGTAAGTGTTATCAGCACTGAAGTAGATCACACCTTTGGCTGCTGTAACCCTCACCTGGCCATCTGCTTGTAGGCCTCTTCTGCCACTGCAAAGATGTGAGGGTCTATGTCCCCCATGTTTTGGCCACTGTATGCATAGATGACATCTTGTCCATAGATTGGCAACTGCTCATAAGGGTTGATGGCAACAAGCACAATACCTGCAAACATACAAAGCAGCTGGGATTAGGCAGAGCCATGATACCTGGCATAAACTTTCCAAGGCTTTATCCAGGTATATCAGGGCATGAGATTCAGTCTCTCCACAGAGCTCAAAACAAGGAAGGCAATAATTGTTTTGCATGCATATGCCTTCTCAGTTACATAATGAACTCCTTATAGGCAGAGACCTGACTTCTTGTGTTTTTATGTATTCTACACTACCACTGCCCCCCAGTCCATCCTCTACCCCTCCCCCCCACCCCACCCAAGCCTAGCATCATGCTAGGAACGTAAGAGGTGTAACCTAAACATATTTTTATTGATTAAGTCAAAAGACCCGATGAGGGTATCAGGCCTGGTGTTTTTTGGGGGGGATGGTATTAAGATAGAAGATAAGAGGATAAATGTCAGTTCAGCTGCCAAGACAGGAGAAAAAACTTAGTCTCTTTCTTCATATCATGAAAGTTTTATCTCAGAATCTCAGAACCCCCAGAAGCTGGGAGTGAGAAAAGTGAGTGTATATAGCCAAGGGCGACTGTCCAAAATCACATGTTAAGTACATTCTTTGGAACATTCTTCCTTATTCATCTTCCCAGTTATTGGTAGGGGGGGAGGCAGGTGGGCTTGAAAGTTGATAACCACAGATATCTCCAAGTGATTTGCTTACCAAAGTCTCCCCTTGGACCCTACTGTCATCTTGTCTGACTAAAGAACAGAACACAGGAGAAATGTTGACACAGTCTTTCAGTCTTTGAGAGAAGATAGGCAGGCATCAATTAACCTCAAATGTTCCACTGATGTAAAAATTGTAACTTAATTCAGAAATATTAATGAACTAGGACATAGCCCTCCACTTAAATAAGGTTTAAACAGAAAAACCCTTTTGGTTTCAACCTTTGATTAACGAAAAAAACTGATGAACTGATGAAAAAAATTGTAATGTTCAAATCCACTTTCCTAACTTAAAAAGATAGGTATACTACTAAACAGAACTACTTTTTTGATGAGTGGGGACCTCGTGGTGTTCCAGATTCATAATTCTGAAACTTGATGATTACTGACGCAGGACTGTAAGTGGAAAAAATATAAGATACTGGGTTACAAGTGTAGTGACTCCAGAACAACCCCTCAAAGTTGTTTTAAGTTATTATGAAAACCCTGACATCAGTTCATTTTGTTTTAATTTGCTTCTTTTTTATCTTTTTGTGGGGTTGGAAGAAGAGGTGACTGAACAAGGGAGTTAACAGATATGTAAAATGTCTGGGTGAGGCAACTCCCTCTACCAGTGAGGACAGCACCTGCTCTTTAACTTAGTGTCAGAGAGAGCCCTGCATCATTGAAAAGTTAATTGACTTCCCCAGGATAACACAGTATATGTCAGAGGTGAGGTTTGACCTCAGGTCTTCCCTGACCCCAAGGCTTGTTTTCCACCCCCTACACCATACTCTTTCTCTCTACCTGTGTAAAATAGAGGGGGAATTGTGAAAAAATAAAACTGCTTAATAGAAGGTATTGGATAGTAGTGTTTTATTGTATTTGAAATAAGACTTCGCCAGCTTTCAGTCAGCTTGGGGAGAATCTTATTTCACTATTTGGAAAATGCCATTTCTCAAACATTAGAAATGCCAGGCTATGTAGATCTAACTACAGCCACTCCATAGGAAAAACATCCTAATTTATTGGTTGTCATTTCAGACCAAGGTGAAAAAATATGAAAGGGGCAAAAGTCTGAAGAAGCTCAGCATAATCCATGATGTCAAGCAAGAGGAATATTCTGAAGCAACAACCAAGAATCCTCACTCTAATCCCTTGAAAATTTATAATCACTCACCTATGACTATCCCCTATTATCCAAACTCAGACACTTATTAGCTGTGTGACCCTAGGCAAGTCACTTCACCCTGTTTGCCTCAGTTTCCTCATCTGTAAAATGAGCTGGTGGAGGAAATGACAAACCACTCCAGTATCTTTGCCTGGAAAACCCAAATGGGGTCATGAAGACTAAAATGGGCAGGGCAGGACTAAATGACTCAACAACACCCCCCCTTCACCTCCATTTCTCAAAATCTCTAGCTATCTTCAAAGTACGGATCAAGTACCACCTTCTACAGAAAGCCTATGTTGATCTTCCATAGATAATTTGTATTAAATTTTCTATGTCTATGTTGTTTTCCCTACCTCCTTAATAAAAAAAAGCTCCTTGAGCGCAGGCACTGTTTCTTTTGTTTTCTCTCTTTTCTTTGTCTTTATATTGCCTATATCACATAAGATATCTCCTTTATTAAATAGTATCTCACATATAATAATAGTAATAATAACATTAACTAGCATTTATGCATTTACATTGCACTTTACCCATTTATATGGTACTTTAAAGTTTGCAAAATGTTTTACATATGTTATTTTACTTTATTCTCACAACAATCCTGAAAGGGAAGTGCTAGTTATTATTATTCTCATTTTACAGATGAGGAAACTGAGGCAGGTGAAGTTGCATGATTTGGCCAGGGTCATACAGTTATTAAGTGTCTGAAGCCAGATTTGAATGCAGGTGCCCTTGCTTGCAGGTCCAGCACTCACTCTATCCACTGTGCCACCTGAGTGTCTTTAGATACTTTAGTAAATATTTATTGAATTGAATCAGGAATGTGGACCATTTGACTCTAGATCCATTACTTTATTGTGCTTAGCACAATGGATGCTTCTTATCCTCTATAATGCTTACTGATGTTAAGCTCCTTGAGGGCCCAGATTGCATCCTGCTCCTATTTTTCCCAATGTCTAACATAGTTTTTATACCCACTATGCATTTTGTGAACATGAATGAAAAATCCTCATTAAAATAAGGGGGGAGATGAAAAAAGAGAGGAATCTATAATCCAGAATGTGGTGAACTAAGGAACTGAAAAGAAAGTCAATCCCTCCTACTCTTTCTCATGTGGTATCCAGTACTGGAATCCTTTTTGTATTGGGGTATTTGTCTGGCGGCTTCACCGAGGGCCACTAAGAATGGTTACTGCCATCTTCCAGTGTCTTCCTCTACCCCTGTTCCCCCATAAAAACAAGTCCAAATCTATTAGAAGTATGATCAATAGCTAGAGTAGGAGAAAAACACAGTTATGCAGATGCCTTCGATGTCCTCCCTCTCCTTGCAATTTCAAGTACTGGACTTGAGCAAATCCCTTCATGGGATCTGGTTCAGTGTGGACCTGTTTCCTCCTTTATTGAGCAATTATAATGACGATCATTCCCCAGGGATGCAGGGAAGGTTAATTGAGTAATGTGCACTGATTGTAAAACATGAGAGACGTTCATCAAATGCAGCAGCAAAATTAGTATTCCTGCCAAACTGGAGTTTAACACTTCTCATTTTAATGATACAACGCAGTCACAAACACAAACGCGTGCACATCATCCAAATATCAGCACTCCACTTACCACAGTAGGTGTAGATATGGTTCGACTCCAAGAAACGGACTTTTAAATTATGCAAAACTGCAGGCTCGTGAAGATAACTAAGAGCTGTTAAGTCATTTTCTCCCACCAGGATATCTGGGTTTCGTAAGAAGGGGAGCTGGTTGGTACTTAGATCAACCGGGTATTCGTGGATCTAAAGAAATACAAGTCACAGACATGGAAAAAGAGGAGTTAATTAATTCACCTGGAAGGCACTAGGCACAGCATGTTGCCTTGTTAAGTTATCTACCTCAGCTACTTGACCTTCACATAATTACTAGTGATCTCTATGACCAATAGCAATGTATTCTGAGGAACCAGAGACAGAGCGAGCAACATCTGTCCCTCCATAAGAGACCAGCCCAAGTGTAGCCTTCAAATGCTGACAGAGAGCTTAGAGAAAAGCCACATGGATATCACCGAGGATTATAACTCAGGAAGCACGATATTCTTTTAAGATGCTCCCTGGGACAGAAGGAAGGCCAGGGAGAAGAGCAGGCAAGCAGGACAGGTCTGAGAGCTACTGCTTGAATTTCTTACATGTTTAAAGAGAAAAGTAAGCTGTACATAAGAGAAATTTTCAGTTTCACATATGACTTGCTTTTCAATTCTACTAGATATATGGGAAAGACCATTTTATTTGTTTGTTGTTGTTGTTGATAGGTTTAGAAAAAATATATTACAATATACATATGAATATTTTAAAAATACATAAGTCCTGTAAGCTGCTTTCCCCCTTTACTCCAAAACATGTCCTCTCTGGGACACAGCCTCCGCTACTTTAAAGATAAGGTAATCAACTCTCTCCATTTTATAGATAAGAAAGATGAGGCATCCAAGTGTCTGGTTCCAGGGTCACAGAGGCAGAGGCAAAGGTACTTGTACATGAGAAGATATATGAGCTGACTCACATAACAAAATCTGTAGCATACACTTGATACTTTGAACAGTTTGTTTATTTTTGACCACCCTCTCTCATTCTGGATGCTCTCTTCTCCAAGTTTTTGAGACAATAATCTCACCTGGTTCTTCATTTATCTATCTGGCCATTCCTTCGCTACCTCTTTTGTTTATTCATCATCCACATTACATCCTCTAACTGTGTATGACCCCCAAAGAGCCTCCTCTCATCTTCTCCTTTTAAACACCTTCTCCTGGTAACTTCATCAGCTCCCAAGGTTTGAATTATCACCTCTGTGAAGATGACTCAGATCTATATAAACAGCTGTAGTTTCTACTCTCAAAGTTCCAGTCTCAATTGCCTATCGAAACTGGATATCCTGGAGATATCTCAAGCTCTTCATGTCCCAAACAAACTCTATCTTCCTCACAAAATAGAACCTTCTTGAAAACTTCACTTTTTCCATCAAAGGCAATATCATCCTGTCAGTCTCCATCTTTCCATCCTTCTGTCCTTCCAGTCTCCCAAGATTGCAATCTTGATGTTATTCTTAACTCCTCACTCTCCTTCACTGATGTATCCAATTACAGCAGTTGATAAATCTGGTTCTTTTTTAACCCCACAACATCTCTCAGGTCAGACTCCGTATCTTTTCACAACTTAGTTCAAGACCACATGAACTCTTGCTGGATGGTGACAAAGGTCTCTAATTGGCCTCCCTGCCTCAAGTCAGTAAAGTACATTTTCCACACTGCCACCAAAGTGATTCCTTAAACACAAATCTGACTATGTAATGCCCCTATTCAATCAATTCCATCGATCCCTATTGCCTTTGGAATAAAATAAATAAATTTTCTATTTAGCTTTTGAAGTCCTATCCAGTGTGGTCCCAGCCTCACTGGATACTGCATCCTCTCTCCCACCACGCTCTTTTAGCCAGAAAAAAGTGACTTCCTCTTTGTTTTTCCCACACAACATTCTACTCTGCATTTGCACTATACACTCTCTCCTCACCTCCATTTTATAGAGTCCTTTGCCTTCTTAACTCTCATCTCAAGCACTACCTTTTCTACATATGAATCCTTTCTTTATCCCCCAAATGCTAGTGTCCCACTTCTCAAACTACCTTGAAGTGAACTTGTATTTATTTGTCAGCACGCGCACACACACACACACACACACACACACACACACACACACACGCATAGTGAGAGACACATATGTACTTGTCTTTCCTGGTAGAATGTAAGACCTATGCAAGCAGGGATTGTTTCATTCTTCATACATGCACCTCTGGTGCCTTGCATAATGTCTGATACGTAGATGCTGCTTAATAAATACTTGTTCATTTATGACTGAATAGAAAAATGCATGATTCCTCTGTCCTACTTCCAAACCACATCCCTTTGCTCACTGCATAGACTTCCTCTGGAATGATCCATGGGAAATCTGAATGGCTTCCCCCTAATTGAGGGGTACTTAACCTTTTTTGTGCCATGGACCTCTTTGGCAGACTAGTAAAGTTTATAGAACTCTACTCATAATAATGGATTGTTGTCTATATTCATAATTGCAGGAAATGTCAAATTTTAGTTAGATGCTAGTGAAAATAGATACATTTTTCCTATCCAAGGTCACAGACTCCCTGACAACTATCCAAGTTAAGAAGCCCTGCTCTAAACAGAATCCTCAAAAAGGTAATTCTATAAAATTGCCAAAGCCACTAAGCTAAGCTAAATCAGCTTTAAGCAATACCATCATACTACCATAATGCTTTTTTGAAAATAACATTTTTTTAAATACTACCCTAATAAAAATATAAAATAAACATCATTGACAAAGCAGGGAATCCAGATAAAGCTACTGGCATAAAAAGTAGGCTTGTTCCCCCTCAATACAAGAAAAGGGCAGTGAAATGAGCAATTTTTATACCACAGAATTCTGGAACTGGTAGATTTTTTTTGCAGAAAGGACTCTTGTCTACATCCAAGTCTTTCTGGATGTAAAGGTCTCTACTTTTCCACAAAAGGCCTCCAGGGAAGGGGATTTCCCTAGTTCCCATTTGTCCTTCCTGAACGTCTCTCCTTTTTCAGATCACAGCACAGAATGTGGATTAGAGGTTCCTACCTGACCATCCCTATACTCTGGAGTGTAGGGAGTAGGAGTAGCTATAATTCTGTCTTTTCTTAGATGCCTCTCTTTCTGCTTCTGTCAAGAGAAGATAGAGGAGGAAATTCCCAGGCAAATTCATGAAAATAGGACCTAAGAACAAGCTAGGGTCACTAGCTCTGTCAAATTGACACAGGGGTAAAAACTGTCCAAGTCAGCTAAAAAGAGCTAAAAACCTGCCAACTCAGCATATGAAGCTATAGATTTCTTGGTTTTCTTCTGGGGGAGGAGAAAGAAAAAAAGACATAAGAACAGATTTTTCCTTAATAGGAAATTGATTGCAAGACTGTCACTAGTTAAATCAGCTATAAATCTGCAGCCAATACAGATTATTTGAAAAGTCAGAGTTTTCCAAATAACTGATGATCACATAATCAGGTACTATGGAACTTTCAGGAGCCAGAGGCAAGAGAACTGAAATATACAAATCATCCAGCCCTTGGAATTAGAGGGATGGGCTAAATGACAACATCTACAAAACTGGAAACTGTTCAATATCCACCAGTGGGTTCCAACCCTTCTCCTTCCCACTACTACCTGGTTCTGAGGTAGGCCAATCAGTGTGGGGTAGGGAGAGAGAAAGGAAGAAAAACTAGAAAGGACATCTGGCCTGACAAGATAAGAAACTATGATAGATTAGATGATAGGATAAGAATATTTAGTGTTGCTATAGTGGGAGCATATTGATGTCTCAGCATATTAATGTCAACTATGACACTGCATGAAAGCTCAATTTTCCCTCATTAATAAGTAAATTTTCACAGACTATGGCTAGAAAACCATTTCTTAAAAATATGTGTGTGTGTGTGTATATATATATATATATATATATATATATATATATATACACACACACACACACACACACACACACACACACACACACACACACATATATATTTCTTTTTTTCAGGCAGTTGGGGTTAAGTGACTTGCCCAGGGTCACACAGCTAGTAAGTGTCAAGTGTTTGGTCTGAGGCCAGATTTGAACTCAGGTCCTCCTGACTTCAGGGCCGGTGCTCTATCCACTGTGCCACCTAGCTGCCCCTATATTTCTAATTATGCCAATTTCAGGAGTTCTATTTTGTTTGTAAACATCTTTATTGTTTTATTATGATGAAAGCCTTAAAAGCCAGAAATAGTGTTATATCTCTAGATTTCAGGGAAGCCCTACTACTCCTGATGTTAGGTGGTAGGAAATGGCATATGCTGCATGTGACTGAATAGGTCTCTGAGCCAAATACATTTTTCAATTCTTCATGCCCGTTTCTGCACTTCTTTTGGTGTAGAAAATTGTAAGTTAGCTGTATTTATAAGGCTACAGTTTGCCATGTGACCTAAGACAAGTCACAAAAGCTTTAGGGGGTTGGTCAGTGGACCTTACAATTCTTTCTAGCTATAACTCTATCATTTTAAACTTACTTATATGTGGTTATTGAGTATCTGTGTTATGTGTGAGGAGGAAGAGGAGGAGGAGGGGAGGAGAAAAAGTAGGAGGGGGAGGAAAGGAAAAGGAGGGAAGGAAAGAAGAGGAAGGGAAAGGAAGGAAGGAGAAGAAAGAAAGAAATGGAGAGAGGAAGGGGAGCAAGAAGAAAGAGGATGGAAGGGGGCAAGAAGAAAGAGGAGGGAGGGAGAAATGAAAAGAGAGAGGGAGGAAAGGAGATGGAAAGAGGAAGAGAGAGAGAGAGAGAGAGAGAGAGAGAGAGAGAGAGAGAGAGAGAGAGAGAGAGAGAGAGAGAGAGAGAGAGAGAGAAGTGAACAATTAGGGGGAAAAAACTAAAAAAATGAAATCTCTCAGTTAAAAGGAAAAGACTCTAAGGTTGATCTCTCCAGAAGCTCCCAGACTAGGAGTAACTTTAAATTAATATGAGATAGGCAATAGAAAGAGCAATGTGTCTTAGAAGTCAGAGAAACTTCAAATCTTGGCTCTGCAGTTTGCTACCTGGGTGACCTTGGCTAATCTAAGTCACTTTAGCCACCTGTCAAGTGAGGAGGTTGTGCTGGGTTATCTCTAAGGTCTCTTTGAGCTCTGAACGGATGACCACCACAAGATGAGAACATGACTTTTTTACAGTCTGGCTCTT